CCACCACCACTACTACTACTGTTGCTGCTGCTGCTATTCCGCAAGTAAACGTACTCGCTTCCCAGAGTGTGTCGCCGGTGTGTTACGGCCAAGAGAACGAGCACCTCTCGCGCGCAAGCAAGCACACGCGCGGCGACGGCGGCGCAGGCCGCGCATACTATTCGCTCGACGCACCACCTGGCGGCATGCGCATCTCCTGATATATATATATATATATATATATATACTATATGTATATATATATATATATATATATATATATACATATGTATATATATATATATATCATATATATATATCTTCTCGTGCATGCGCGCGCTACATTGTCGTGTACGTACCGGCTTGCCGTGTGCGTGTGTGGTGTGTAATATACGCGCCCGAGCACTTTCGGAAGGTGCGCGGCAGTCGAAGAGCCGTACTCGTAAATTGTTACGTCTATCCGTTTTACCTGCACTTTCCGCATTCAAAACGAAATATCCCAGGTTTCCGGGGATGAAAAAGAAATGAAAGCATAGTGAAAACGAACGAATCTGCTAGGTTTTATCTGTACATTTATTGCGATAATATGAAAATGATTTAGCTACTCGGAAGCAGTTTCAAAAAACGCATACAAAATGTAGGAACTTTCTTTACTTTAATTCTACTCTCTTTCGTTATCAAACTTTCTTGAAATTTTTATTTTTTCTCTTGTACCCTGTGAGATCTACTTGTTTCATTTCAAATACGAAAAATATAACGGTGCAAAGCTAAAAGAACAGACTTATTATCCTTTTCACGTTTTTCTTATCACGCACACTACAAAAGCGAACGCGTTTTCTGCAAAGGCGTCAGTAACGTCAATCTGATAATACGTAGATAAATACGGATGCGCCAATAACAACAAATTTGTAATTATTTCAATATATCAATGGAAAAGTCTCATTGCAGTACGTCCGTTTGGAAATGTAAAATAACAGAATAAACCTTGCAAAGTATTCCAAGTCTCTTTACGACGAAGAAATTTACGGGTGACGCGCGAGTGTGAATGGATGAGTTAGAAAGTGTGTGTGTTAGAGTTGGCAAATTTAGTGAAAGGATAGGTAACAACGGTGCAAAAGAGAAAGAGAGAGAGAGAGCGAGAAGGAGAAGGGGAGGAGAGACGAGAGAGAGAGAGAGAAAGAGAGCAAGAGAATATAACGCTATGGACGAATCACACTAGCAACGCATTCAGTATTCCATATCGAGGTAAAGGCGCACCGCGCAATTGGTAGCGGCAAGACAGGAGTCGAAATTACACGAGAAAGAGGACCAATCAGATTTTAGCTTATAAAGTCCGATAGCCGCGCATAGGATATTCGATTAACCAATCGTATTCCGCAGGTATCGATTCGAATACATCTCTCGATGTGCCACACTCAAATGGCAGCCAAATGCGACAACGACGGCAACGAATACAAAAGGTACATATGACCGACGCGACTGCAGGTCTTAACGTCACTTAACGGTTCTTAAATTCGAAAACTTTCCACTCGAGAGTGATCTTGATTTATAAAGAACTTATTTTCTCATAAAAGCAATTTCTCCATTGTAATCGATAAATTTACTTACTTTTCTCAACTTTTTTTTGGCGAAAATTTTAAATGCGACATCTAAAACAATCGTTACGCAGCATATTCTCATTTATCGTTTTTTGCGTGTTTTTAGAAATTCTATGCGATTCTCCTTTCCAATCTAAGATTCCAAGATTCCACAAGAAATCGCCGCTTACCAGCTGACTTCAGAAAATCCTATGAGAAACACGTTCATCAATCAAAAATCTTGTTGATATATACATGTGAATAATGAATTCGAAAAGATCATTTGTATTTAATACAAAAATATAACTGCATTTTGCATTATCCGCAATATATATATAAATCACGTTTTAAATAATCACACCAATCTCATGCACATCTAAAAAATATCCTATATATCTAATGTAAAATCTTGCAATATGTAATGCAATAATTTCAATAATTTATGCCAAATTTTTAAACACAATTTCGTTAAAATCAATAAAATAAAATTATAATTAACAAAATTTGATTATCATAATTGTAGAAAACCAGTGATAAGAAAACACAGATGAATGACTTATCCATTAAACAAAAGAAATAAATCGATGCAATTAACTGTGAAGAAAAGTCTTAAATGATCCGTCCTTAGTTTCATCGCGTATTGTATTTTGTATTTATGTTTTTGAGTATAAGCGTATATTGGGAGAAAGAAAAACTCTGTAAAACACATACAAAAAGCAAAGCCGAAAAGAACGAACTTATCGATAATAAGATCGGAGACACGATCGGTGAATATATTGCGTTTACAAAGTCTCCGGGCTCTTGCGGATAAATCAACAATTTTTTTCGATAATAATCCATAGAAAAACTTACAGTTGCACGAAAAGCGATCCCATCTTTTCTGAGGTTCCATCTAAAGAAAAGAAAAAACCCAAGGCAGACCCAAGAAGAGGACGGATGAAGAAACAGAGAACGAGAGCCAAACTACACAAATGTTCGCTCAATCGTTATCTTGGTGTCCATTTTGTTTGGTTTAATTACTGAAGAGGCGTCGGTGGTGGTAGTAGTAGAAGTAATGATTGTGCGATGGTGGTGGTGCTACTGCTGCTATTGCTGATGCCGTAAGTTACATTGACACAACACGACGACGACAATGGCCCTTCGATAGCTGCTGCTTCGGTGCAGCATCAAGAGGCATCCAAAAAAAAAACTCACACACACGCACAGAAAATCACACACGAGAGAATCGCGAAAGCGAATGATCCGAAACCAGAGCAGGAAAATGGATCCGCAAATGGTCGGAGTGCGTCGCGCGAGTATTAAAAGACCGAATCAAATAAACGAATCCGTTCACTGGCCACTTTCTTCACCGCGGCGGCGACGGCGACACACATTATCCATGTGTAACGTTTTACCTCGTCTCGTTGCACCGACCGACTCCGATTCGTTGCACACCGTAACCTAATTCCGTGGAAAGATCACAGCAATGTTTCGTCTCTGTACCTGTGCTTCTCCGTGCCGTCGTTTATTCTTTTCCATTCACTCGATTTGGCGTATGTCGTACGTACTTATGTACGCCGAGAATCGTAACGACGTCGCCACAAATCTTGCGCACTCTCAGCTCAGCTGCACTCTCTTTCCACGCGTTTATAAACGTCCATCTCTCCCTGTCAATTCGACGATACATACGCCAAAATACGCGACGATCCTCATCCTCGGCGCCGGACGACGCCAGTGCCACTCGGTGCCGCTGGCTCCATCGTGAGAAATGGCGTGAAAGTTACAACGGTCGGCCCCGAATTTTCTAACTGCTAATGAATTACAGTTTATGGAGGTTACGCACTGACACGACACGACGACGACGACGGCAATGGCCTTTCAATAGCTGCCGTGCAGCTTCAGCACAGTGTCGAAAAGTATAACGAGAGACAGAGCACAGAAATTGTATTTTAAATGCGTACACAATTAGATAACAAATAAAAAAACGTGTACCTAGAAACTGTACATCGACGATAGTGTGTTCCTAAAATACAAAGTTTCCAATTGGATGTTGAACGTCAGTCATTGAATGCAATGTAAATTCTCCATTATCTATCTCTACGATTGGTCTTTTTAACGAAAACCAGAAAGTGACTGGAAAGCACGTCGCCTATCATACATTTCTTAAACTGTGCTTTTACCTTGCACGATCGAAGAAAACTCGATTCATCGTTAAAAAAAAAAGAAAAAGAAATATCCTACTTCGCAAGCTAATGATCCACTTTTTTTTCTATATACACGCACAAAAAATTTCTTTTAAAATAAAGATGTACTTGATCACTACAAAGCCACTTTAAAATTACAGATATGAAAGAGCAAATTTATGAAGTTTAATTAAATGTGATAAACAGTGAATTTCTAAGTTGTTCGTTTCATGTATATTAAAAAATTTGCAGACCAATTAAAATAAACAAAAGTGCGATTGTGCAAAACTTATACTTTTTACCAGGAATTTATGGAAATAACTATATGTGCCAAAGATTTATAATTGAGATTGTATTAATATAATTTGATTGCACTATAAATATATATTAATTACAATAGAAATCTTATATTTTTAAATTTTATATTATTTGAAATGCCGCTTTTTATGTAAAATCTCAAAATCTTACATTTAATCTTCTTAATACCGATTATAATTTACATAATTCTTTTAATGGCCACATGTGGATATTCCTGTCGCCACTGTTCGATTTGGAAGTCGGTAATGTTGTCGCAAAAGCTAAGGTCAATCATCTCTAGTTCGGAGCAATTCAACAAAAATTCATAACATATTTCCGATGTCAGAGATAATGCACCTAACAAGTCCAACTGTTTCAACCGTTTGCACAATGTCAATTCTTTCAGATCACGATCCGTAAGACCCCTAAAAGCAGCTAGAAAGACCTTTTCCAAGCTCTGACAGGAAGAGAACAGCTTACGGAAGGTTTCACCATAACCAGTTGTGTGGCCGCTATAAGAAAAAGAATCCTCTGATAGTAAAAATAATGTAGTTCTTTCAAAATGTATACTAAAGGAACAAACGCATAGAATTCAATGAAAAAATTTCGTAATATTTAAAAAAAAATCATACCACCAACTGAAATCCACTTCTCGTAGATTCTTACACCTAGCGAGGGCGCCGATACCCTGCGACGTAAGAGTGCATACCTTCCAAAAATCTACACTTTCCAATTTTGGACACGAATTTCCCAATTCGATTGCAATTTCATCTGCATGTAAATATTCTTGCATACCTGCTATATTTAAATGACGCATATTTGGATTTCTTTGCAGTATGCTGCAAAGAGTTGGAGTGCTTATAAAAGTTCCATAAAAGTCTAAATGTTGGAGGAATTCAAGTTGATTAAGATGTGAGAATCCTGCATTTGTTACATAACGACAATTACGTAGAGACAATTCTGGAAAAAAAGGTATATGTATGTATATATATACAAATTATTTTAGAAAATTTGTACGCTCGCACACGCGCGCGCGCATACACAGAAACGTACCTTTCAAATTTTTACATGTCCTTGATATTTCAAGAATAACAGAATTGTCAACTTTGTCGCAACAATTCAATCGTAAGTGCGTCAAGAGATTGCCGCAGTTTTTGAGAAAATTTTTGATGTGCGTAGTAGAGAACATGTCATAGTTTCCGCACCACGAAAGATCCAATTGTTGCAAATATTTACATCTGGATGCCAAGCAATTCAATGCACGCGCATCAAAAGAATGCCAATACGGCTTCAAGTTCAAACGCGTATAAAGCAAAACGTCCTGTGCTAAATTATTAAAGTGTTTATTTACTCTGCACAAGCGATACAGCGATCTCAAGTCCAAGTTTTTAAATATTTTCAATATTGTTTCATCCTACGGGGCAAAAATGATAAAATTTCGTCAAATAGGATTATACAGCAACAAGTATTACTAATCACAAAAAGGATAAATCTCTTAAGATACTTAACAGGAAGCACAGAAAAACTGCCACATGGTAGATCCTCGGAATCATTTGCAGGGACATGAATATCCTGCACAAATTGCGGAAAATCTTCCAACAAAAATTGTTGCATTTTGTCACATCCTTCTTTCAACGGTGGTACACAATGATAAAGTTGTTCCAATTCAGATACTAGCTTGCTCTCGTGAAAATTCTCACTGTAACAATGCAAATATCTTATTATTATACAAAATGTAAATAAAAATGTTTGATATTGTACAATATTGACGATTATACCTTCTGTACACAGTACAATGTTCAGGTAATGTTGCTTTAAGATTAACCAAATCCACTTTTGTATTTTTATAATCTGGTGTTAAATTGTAAAGATCATCTTTGTCCGGATAAATGTTGTTCATACTTTGTAACAAATCAGTCAAATTACGTTTGTGCAATTTGTCTTTAGGAAGAATCAGTTCCGATGTACCAATGAGCAACACAGCATCCAGCTCTGTATAATAGTCGAGTAGACTATGGTTGAATTCCAGTCTCAGTATTTTTGTTTTAAAATTACATGACTGTAAAGGTGGTGAGAATATTCGTGACCTTGGAGGGACAATCTGAGGCGGTCCACTCCACAATTGAAACCACTGCTCATGACAATCTTGCGCCCATATTCTAATTACGCTTCCAGGATTATATATTTCATATACAGAGACTCTGATTGGATATACCGCTTTACCAAATTCAATATCTTCACAAATCAGTAAATAACAAATACAATTATAATCTTCTCAACAAAAATATCTCTTTGTACTTTATCAATTGTTAATTAAAATATCTTACATACCAATATAATCTTGGCTCACAACATCTGGATTATTCTGTGGCATATAATCTATGGATCTTGAAGGCGCTTTGTCCCACCATACTCCATAAGTTCTCTATATATGGAAAAGTAAATCCGTCAAGTTGCATCTTGTTGAGATTCTACAAAATAATAACAAACATACAAACACATACCATGACAAATGCTTGTGGAAAATCTCCATAGTCTGGAAATTTGCTAGGTGGTCCAGCTATGTTCAAGGCGGTATAAGATATGCTTATACTACTGCCATACTGAGAACTGAATCCACGAACATCGTGTACAAACTGCTCGACAAAAGTGACATGGTCCTCCTTGCTTATGGGTACTTTATCAACTTTTAGATTGAAAGCATGATAATGATAAGGAGAATAGGAGAACGATGCATCAAAAACAGGATGGTGATGTTGAAGTATCATGTTATTAACGAGAAAATAAAAGATATGTAGAGTTCCTTGTGTTTCTAGTATATATATATATATATATATATCACAATGTTGCGTTTCTAGTATATATATCACAATGTTACATTATAATAATTGTTAAAAATTAGAAACTGTTAATGAAAAACATGTAATAATTTTGTTTGTCTCAAAGATTATAAAAAGACACGAGAAATAATAAATTATCTCAACAATATGTAACAACTCGATTAATATATCACTTGTAAACAAGCTGTCAGTTTGGCTGTTGACAAATATAACTAAGTAAAATAAAACCTTTCTGGGAATTGGTACATTTTTCATCGTACAATTGGCAACAAAAAGGTCGTGACACTTTATGAGTTTTGGAACACACTAAAATCGTAAGATCATCCTTTCGATTTCGAAACTTGCAAGAAAAGCACAATTCAATTTTTTTTAAATATACATGTTTCTTGCGAACGATTGTAATTGTATGTACGGGGCAATATATCTACGTATGTATGTACCGTGTGTACCTAACTTCAGGTATGACGATATATGTGCATGCGACTGTACTCTCGATCTGATTTGAAGATCTGCGCTAGTAAACATAACATAACAATTCGAGGTATAGGCAAACCTCGTGTCCTAAAAGAAGTATAATAATTAATTATAGCGTTATTAGGTGTATATAATTAGGCTCACAATGGTAAGTTTTTGGTCAATCATCCACACTTTATTTAACTACTAGCAAATACTCCGTATCTCCTGGGTCAACTAACCTCCATAGGTTATTTCGATATTTCATTGCAGGATGTATTTTTAATGATCAGGCGAAAAAAAATGACAATATTCACAGACGCGAAGGATGACACCACAGTTCTCGAGCTCAAGAAGATGATTGAAGGTAAGACACGTGTATCTGAAGAAATATACAAGAATATAAGTAATGATAAACCTTTTCAATTTGATTGGTCTATTTCATTTGAAAACTTATCGTTAATGATTGGTCTTTCAATAAAGGACTTAATTTTAATATTGAGATTAACTTCTATATTAAAAGGTATACTGAAAGTACCACCGGCAAACCAGCAGCTATTTAGCAAGGACAATATTCTAATGTCTGATAACAAGGCTTTACAAGATTATGGATTAACATCGTTAACTGCAAAAGCGCAGTGTCCTGCATTAGTGGGCTTAGCTCTGCGTCAGCCGGATGGTCAGTTTGAGCCTCTCGAGATGACACCGTTTTCATTACCGCCGGATCTTCCTGATGTTATGAAATCCCAAGAAAATAATGGACAAGAACAGTCTCCTTGAAATAATACAGATAACATTGCACCAGCCGATGATGAAGTTTTGTGTTTTGCGCAATTTAGTAATCGTCAGAGCAGCTCTGAATCGTTCAACAAGAAAGGAGATCCTGTGTATGATGTACTATGTACTATGTGAATATTAAAATGTGAACATCATGGTATTGCCATGGTAGTACCATGTAAATAAAATATGTACAACTTTATACTGATATTCAGAGCCGCAAAACTTTTCGATATTCAATTTAATGAGGTTGCTATGTAGTTACGCGATCTTCAGTTTTGTAAAAAGATGTGATGAGTACTAATTTGTACTTGATTATTAGACTGAAGGTGATAATAAAACTAAAAAAAAACCATGCTCACTACACTGTGCATCAAAGGAGATTTAGCTATATAATAAGTGTTTTGTTATGTTATCAGATTGCGAATAACTTGTATCTCACCTTATATTTAATTTATGGATGTAGCTCAAATGTTAATTTAAAGTACTTTTAATATTTTTAAATTGCATTGAATTTATTTGTTTATGCCTTATTTAACTGTCACTCGCCGTACATATCCTTGTATCGCAAGACCAAATTAAATTCAAAACGCTCGTATTTCCAAATTATAAACTTTGCGGAATTGCAAGATAGACTGGATTAGCATAAGATGTACAATCATTACAATGTAAATGCAAAATATAATGTTTCAATTAATAACATTTACTTCTATAATAATGTATTTCTCGTATCCAACTTATACCGTTTTATAAGCTACAAGCAACGCAATTATCTGTATGTTATATATTGATACTTATAACGATACAAATGTCACGCTATGCGAGTAAAAAAGAAATATATTGTATATGATTCACTCATCTTTAATACTGAAAAGAAATCCTGCACTTGGTTCATTTGTCTATAATACAAAATTTGATTCAAAATTGCATATTAATTTAACAGCTTGATTTAACAAGATTTAATAATAAAGTGAGAAAACTTGTTGTTAATCACTGAGATTCTTATTTGCTAACATTTCCATTATAAAACTCTTATAAATGTCTTTTTTGCTTGGTATATAGTGGCCACCTTCATGCCTTATTTCTTTTTTGTTTGTAAAGAGACCACTGACTTGCTCTGCCATTACTACACAAAAAATAATAGAATCAGTAAAATCAATGCGATTCAATGTGACGCATTATTTTATATAAATTACATTGATAATAATGAATTGCAATCCTATATACCTGTTGGGATAATTTGATCATTCTCGCCATAAATGTGCAAGGAAGGTATATCAATTTCTTCGTCATAATATATTGCATGAGGCGCACACAGTGATTTGAATCCAGATATTGCAATAGCAAAGTTAAACTCGATCTGTAGTTCTGCAAACAGATAAGCAATTGTTACATGTATATATTTTTAATATATATATATATATATACGTATATATATATTAACGTACTTTTCTTTTTCTTCATAGCACATAATATGTTGACAAAAGCAGCCCCTTGTGAGAAGCCTAATATGCCATCAAAAGGGCCTTGTTCTGAAAATGTCTTTTCAATTAAAGTTACACTGTCATCAAATCCTACACATAACTCACTGGGTTCTGTAGCTTTAAACACACGGTCCTCTGTGTTGAACCACCATCCATATCCTTCATACAGAAACAATGTATTAATATTATTAGAGTATAATGCAAACAATGAATAGTTTAAAACTTTGCAATTCTATTAATATTTCTTATCATCATTGTGCACCATTTTCATCCACATCTTCAGAAACTTCATTCCTTGATGGAATTTTATGTGGTGCTCTTAAAAATGTAAAATCTATTTCCTTCTTAAATCCTTTCCTCAGTGATCCTAATTTGGCACTAAAAATCACATCTGATTGCCTATATCCATGAAGTGCTAATATCTAAAATTGGAAAATTCCAATTATACATTCTATAATATACATCAATTAATTTCACACACATCACATATTCTTATATATCAGGATATTAATTATACGATAATTAATAATTATTCACCCGTAGTCTCGGTTTAGTGGTCAACATTGCTCAGTTCTTAAAGTAAACAAATGGATTGCAAGATTAATATATATGTATGTAGCATATATCTCGAGTTAATAACCAAAAGATTGCATACACGCGTAATTATAGCTCTAGAATCGTCAAAATTATACTCAACTCTTATAATACAATTATATAACATGACTTTTGTACAATTATAGTATATTTGTCAAAAATCTTTATGTAAAATATTAATTTTTAAAAATTATTAATACTCGTTTTTCAGAGGAACTATAAAACAAGAAGAGTTGATAACTCTTATAAAAAAAAATATGATTTTAATAGAAAAATAATTATATCTTCAATAATAATTAGCTTAAATGTCTGATCATTGCGACATTTGTCTCACATGTTTAAAATTTGTCAGTTTGTTTTCTTAATCTACATATAATATATTGTTCTACATACATTGTAATTGTAATAACAATCATTCTCTATTTTTTTGAACAAAACAATTCAGAAACTGTTTATGCATGTGTAGTATATTTCATATTTATTTACAACTTTAGTAACGTATCTAATTCAAGTAAAAAAAATTCAAATACAAAAATTATCCAACTCTTCTTCTATATTTCCTTAATCTTTTCAAATACTAAATAATATAAAATATATTACTTTATCTGTTTATTTCAATCACTCTAACCTACGTGATCTTCTATTCGAAACTTTGCGCTTACAGTTGCGCTTACTTTGTACTTTTGTATCTATGACGGTGTTCCAAAATGCACCGAAATGCACTGGCAGTGCTGAAAATCTACGGCATACGAATTAATTCATAAGGAGATGCATAAAAAAACGGACCGATTCATTTCCTTATGCATATGCTTATGCAAGTTTGTTTGGACATACCTTAAGCAACGTCGTCGTATTGTCATATCGCTGCGCATGCGTAAAAAGAGGAAACTGGATTGGATACTAGCTGAAACGATGGCATAATCAAAAGTATAACAACATGACGTATCGGTGATGTTATTTCGTATTGCACCCAAAGATCGATATTGATTTTTATTGATGGTTATATTTGTTGTCATTTAAAAATAAAGATGAAGAACGAAAGATTGCAAGGTAGTACTTGTAACCACTTGTAAGATACTCTGTCACAGTAGTGAAATAAATTATTCGATTGTCTTGCTATTAGCGATATTTGTGCGCAATCTGCAATGTTCGCCATCTTTATTTACTTGAAATAAAATTCAATTATCACAATTGCTTATCTATTCGACTTATCTCATGAAAAGTCGTATGGTAGAACTTTGTATATTGTTCATCTATTTTACGTACGTTCTAAATATGCATCGAATTCGATTGGACAATTTTGTGTCAAAATTGTGGAGATCCATTGCGCTGACGATCCATCGGAGATCGATCACCGGCCGGAATTCGCTTATTTACGAGCCTAACGTTGCGGTAGCCAGAAAAAATGGATTACCGATCGTGGCACTGGAATCGACAATTATTACACATGGCATGCCGTATCCTGATAATTTTAACACCGCGCTGAAAGTCGAAGATGTGATCAAATCGCAGGTTTGTATGACAAATTGTAATGTTTTTTTTTTTCTTTTCTCATCGACTTATGCAAACATAAATATCTAATACAGAATACAGAAATATATAAATCTTTGCATTTACACAGTTTTTTTGTCAGATCTGATAAAAGAGTGACATGTATGCCTTTACATCATTTAACATAAAATCACACTTTTTGCAACCATGTCAAAAGAAGCTATTATTTTGGGAACACACTTGATTGTAAATTATTTTTGTATTATCAATGAATTATCACTAATATTTCTGGATGTACTGTTATATTATACATATTTTAAAATTATGATGTCTTTTTTTCAATCACAAATTCTTTAAAAAATGGAATAAGAAATGGTATCTCCTTAAAAAAGTAAAATAACTAAAAGATTAAACAATTGTAGAATTATTTAATGCTGCTAGGTTATTACAAAATGCATCTGCTGCAATTTTGAAAATTAATTAGGAATACTAATATCAATAAATCTTTGTTTATTACAGGGTGTTGTACCTGCAACAATAGGAATCATAGATGGAAAGATACATGTTGGCTTGAACAATGAACAGTTGGAAACTTTGTCTAAAACAGATTCTACAAAAACTATGAAATGTTCACGCAGAGACATTTGTTCTATTGTATCGCATGGATTGAACGGCGGTACAACGGTGAGTGCTACAATGTTAATTGCACATGCAGCGGGCATTCCAATAATGGCAACAGGTGGTATTGGTGGTGTTCATAGAGGAGCTGAACTAACTCTTGACATCAGTACAGATTTAACTGAACTTGGACGCACACCGATAGCAGTTGTCTGTTCTGGTGTTAAATCTATCTTGGATATTGGCAAAACCTTGGAGTATTTGGTAGATACAGCAATATGTATTTATTTCCATATCTATTTGTTATTGTTCTCTACTTCATTTTCAGAAATTAACATAGAAATATGGCCTGTGTGCTTGCAGGAAACTCAAGGAGTACCAGTGATAAAAATTGGTGAATCGCCAGAATTTCCAGCCTTCTACTGTTCCGAGACTTTGGACAAAATAAAAGCACCGTGTAGAATTTCCAATGCTAAAGAAGCAGCTGATATTATGGAAGCACAGAGAACACTGGGCATTAACACAGGGATACTATTTGCAGTTTCTATTCCTGAAAAATATGCATTGGAGCCTGGCATTATGGATTCGATTATATCAGAAGCTTTGAAAAAAGCCACCGTCATGCGTATTATGGGTAAACAAATAACGCCATTTCTTTTGAACGAGCTCAACGAGATTACACAAGGCCAATCTCTTAAAGCAAGTAAGTGAGTAAAAGTCGACAGATTATACTGTAAAACGTGGTAAAACGTTACTGTTGTGTATGTTTAAAATATCTGCATTTTATGACTTATACAATTTACAGATATAGGTCTCATAGAGAATAATGCCAAGGTTGCGGCTGAAATCGCCTTGAATCTCTGCAAGAGATCTTGGACATCCTGCACAGAATCTGCGTCTGCACGATCAACAATATCAAGAGAAAAACCGGTAAAAATCCAAAAGTGTAAAATTATTCGTTTTTAAAAACTTGAAACTTTGACAATACTTTAGTGATGTACTTTATGTGTATTTAAGGCCCGGTAAATGTGCATTAGATATTGTAATTCCTCCCCGTGAGCGATAACATATTTATTGTAACGTCCCATCAGGTAGTGGTCGGCGGAGCTGTCTTGGACACTGTCTTCCAGGTGAAGGAACCGCAAATAACCGTAAGTCAAAAATCTCACAATCAAAATTATACTAAATAACCAATTTTTTGTATTCATATTACATAATATAGTTATAGAACAGTAACAGTATTTATATACAATTACCACCATATTCTTTTTTTTTTGTCTTTTTATGTACACTTAATAATATCAAATAATGGGAACTTTCGCGTAGAATAATACGGGGAAGAGTACGGTGTGTATTAACAAACGCTTTATAGAATAGCAAACCCTATATGAAATACGGCCATTGCAATCGGCGGCGCGTATCTCCATAACTTAATTAAATACGCAAGCTTGTTACGGCATTTATGAAAGGTTCATCAACGTAAAACGCGCGCTATTGAGCTCAATCGTAATTCGTAACTACATATAATTGTTTAGTGTCCGTTCTTCTTCACTAACAGTCTTCATAAATACACTTTGCTTCGTCATGGATCGTCTTTGTACAATATTAAAGTAATCAAAGCCTTTGGATGTGCATACTTTTCTTCCAGTATCGCGCTACGATCACTCTATGAAATGTCTCATTTGCGACATTGCACGCGCACCGGAAATGTATTGATCCTCAAAGACAAGGAACGTATGCTTAAAAGAGGGAGATATCGGCTTTACATACATATATATTAGTGTACAAACAGATGTTTAAATCAAGCATTCGATATTTGAATCAATTGTGAGATATACATATACATATTTTTGCAGTATTATTTAGAAAAGTTTCTTATACATTAACTGTTGAGATTCTCAATTCAGATCCGACGTGCTATGTCGCAAAGTCTAATTATTCGATCATACCTAATTGTCTGAGATATAATAAATTGGATTTTAAGCAGGCACTATTCAAAGCTCCCTGTCTTCCACTCTCTTCAATTTGTATATTACATTTGGATACCAATTTCGTTACAAATCGCTATGCTCGTTTAAACTTTCAAGTCTTTCTTGCAATGTGGTTGTATAACATCGGGATGTATCGTCCGAATAAAATATAAAGACCTAAAAAACTTGTCGCTTCTTTCATTTCTAGCAGATGGTACATCGATACAACAACCAAAGCGAATTTGAAGTAGGTATCTCATTTGTCCGAAGTGTGATACACGTTGTTCCTTTTTCTTTCCGAAGATATTTTTTTCTCGGCTAGTTAATTAAAAAACGATTAGTCGCTATCTGTTGTATATAACATCTTTATATACATTTAGTGGCAGAGGCTGTGTGTCTGCGAGGTGTAAGCTTTGACGTTATTATGTTACGTTAGCTTGTGTTTACATTCAACAATAATTCGATGGTCTGATTAAGAAAAAATGATGGAATTTGCGCGCTGTCGGTAAAAGAAATCTTTTTTTCTCGAAAGAATGAAAGGAAACAATTACCTGCACATTTAATCGTGATGACGTGCAATATTTCACTTGGCTAATGCTGGCCTATGAAACGTTCAGGCAACCTTTCGTGATTAATAATTACCCTGTTGTCCAGACTAGTGTTGTTTATAGTTGGAGATGTGAAATATCAGATATCGAGAGACACGTACATCCAACTGCGACACAGACGGATCAACGTAAAGTGTCTTGTTCGGTAGCATCGGCACAGATGTGCGTTTCGAACAATTAACGGATAATGTCACGGTTTTCTCCTTAAGCAGACGATCGACACTTAGTATTATTTATTATATGCCGGTATGTACAGCCTACTGTAGTATTTGTATCTGTTATCATTGCATCCCCATTAAATATGTATAACCCTAAGATTCCTTTAATCCTAGCTAGGAAGCCAGTTATTCCGAGTGTTGCGTCTGTGACGTCTTTGTCGCTTATAAGACGGATCTTCATTATTGGGATCAGCCAAACGTATTGATAACGTGTGCCAAAAGGGAAAGAATCAATTTAAAACATGGAAAAGCGTAAAATAACAGCCAACTCCACGCTGTTTCGGCCCAATAACGGAGATCTAGTTACAAGGAACAAATCGGTACAAATTACTTGCGTGACGTTTGTTTCGTTAGATGTAAATGCGTATGTAAAAGTAATTAGGAATTGTTCAATCGTCGCCTACATCGGAAACTTCTCTCTCCTTCTCGCTCGCCCGCCTTTAATCAATGAAGGAAGGGGAATCAAATTTGGCAGTAGTATTTTACACTATTATCTTTCAAAACTATTCAAAACTATTCATTGCAAAGTTTTATGCATAAAATCGCAAGGTTAGTTAAACGGCAATGTATCCACAATTTGCTTGTTCGGATAGATACACAGATTCTCTGCATTATTAAGAGAATCGAGCGTGTAAAGTCTCGCTATAGTCTCGAATTCAAGTCTTAAAGAGAACAAAAGTTGTTAATGAGTGTTGAATTGAGTTATTTTAGGACTCGCGCCAATGTTGATTAACGCTGATACTAACTAAAGTTTTCTCCTTCTGCCGAGCGTTCTGTTAATAGCAAAAGATATTTAAAGGATCTCCGAAAGATTGAGGGACAAAAGATGGGGGGAGGGAGAGAAAGAGAGAGAGAGAGACACAGACATCTCTGCAGTGCGGAATACAAAGAAGTAGAATTGTATTATTACTGAAATAACGCCATCGTGTTTCAGACAAGTTTGCGATCCGATTACCAAATGAAACATTTAATCAAGTCGCAAAACTGTTGGATACCAAGACAACCCAACTGCGAAATGTAGAAAACTGTATGCCATTTATAGACGACGACGATTATATTCGACTGTGACGTATTAACTGCAGTGACACGCATATAACGTTTTTCCCATGAGAAACGGCACGATGGACGTATGATATTCCGTACACTGATGATGCGATCGATGACTCGCTTTGTTCGGATATAGGAAGCGTAAGAAAACTTTTACGGCTAAAAATAAATCTACAAAAGTAGTTACACACCGACCATGCGAGGACGGAAAGACATGTATGTAAGGTGTACACTTGCGAAGAGAGTTCAGGGCAGTTAATGAGCAACTCACGATGTAACTTGGGCGCGCACAAATACAGCGAAAGCTCACGGAGAAGTGTTTAACGCGGTTTGTAAAAGAGATGAAGGAAAGTGTGTCCAACGATCATTTAAAATTAGCGTGCACCCTCTGTAACACGAGATATCGACGGTGACGAAATTAGCGTACAACCGTCGAGAAAATATGAGCCTGTAAATAGAACCGTTCTTTCGACTATCTTTCGCGCGAGGTGAGCTGCTCGTCGCTCGTTTAAGGAATCATAGGGCAATGACGTTTCACATCGGCCTCGATTATATCGCGCTTCTCGATTGAGCGTCGTTCTTCCACGACGAATCAAACGATCGCAAACTTAAACTCTTCTTCGCGAGTTCTGCCTTACAAAATGGAGATAATCTCACTATTGTATGTGTTTTGATTTGGTCTTTCGTTAATATACAATTCCACCGTGATATCGATTCGCGAATACTTGGTCTCCCGTGTGTGTCTTCACGCCGTCCAACGCCGTCCGTCGCCACGATCTCTCCCAGAGTATTTGCGTATCAACCGTGCATTACCGGTAGAAGGGGGAAACTAAGAAAAGACAAGCTGTTGCAGTAGTTGTCAACCCCCTTTACTCTCGTCGATCGCGTCGACGCGATAGCGCTTTCCTCGCCGCTTGTCGGACCAGCCAGGTAACCCGCTGTGTATGCATGTATGCGTGTACGTGTGTGTCCGTGCGTGTTTTACTCTCTTGGAAAAAGAAACTAAAACACTCGAGAGAGGATGTTTTATTTGTATAGCGGGATGTCGGCGCGTCGCCGATTGCTCCTGTATAGGAAACGGTTCGAGGTGTTTCGCCACCATCTCCATAGTCAGGTGCGCCTACTCTGACCGCCCGTCACGGTTACGCCGGTGCCCGGGCTGGCGCCGTTCGACAGCAGCAACCTGCGGTTGAACTCACGCATCTCGTAGTTGTTGTTGCCGTTGCTCTTCTCACGGCCGCCGCCGGCCGTGCAGCTGTTGTGGTTGTTCGCCGAGGTGGGCGTCGTCTCTTCGAGTATCAATGCGCAGTGGCTGTTGGTGTCACTGTCCGCACCACCGTCCTGCAAATTGTTCGCCAGCAGCGGATGCCGGCCGGTGCTGCATTCATCCGATTGCAGCAACAATGATGCGTTGGCTGAAAAAAACGAGCAGCTTATTATTTCCGGCGATTTTGGCATTCCTCTTTTTCGCTCTATCTCTATCGCTACATTGTCGCTAAATTGTACTTGTCTTTTGATTCGAGGTAGTTGATGATTTTTCTGTTTCTGTTTCCATCGCAGGTAGCACTGTGGTTCGATACTTGGCTATAGATACTTGAAACTGCCACGTTAATCGCACGTATATTCGAGCAGTTGTCTGTTATTGAAATTCGAACCGAATATAGAAACTCTATTGTGACAGTGTTGATAGAAATTGGATAAACGAATGCTCAATTTTCGATACATAAATCCGAACGTGTCAATACCGTCGATTCGGCGACCTGACGAGATTTTCGTAGAAAACGCTAACTCGAAACCGACACGTACCGGAAGGTACGACCGCGTTGGGCAGAGTCGTACGTCTGACGATGCTGCCGTTGTTGGCCGTCTCCGGCAACACTTGAGTGAAGGGCGGCTGAGCGAACGCGTGGTCGGTGGCGGCGGTTCCCTCAGTAGTCGTATCTTCTGTATCATCTCCCGTATCTCGTAACGCAGTATACCGAGAAAGCAGAGTTTGGCGAAGGCGATGACGCAAAAGCCCAGAACAAATAGCAAGTCCGCCGTCTTCCTGAGCCAACGTATGAGCGTCTCCTCGCAGCCACGTCCGTACGGATGCTGACAGGGTTCACTCGCGTTCACGCTGGGCCCGCAGCAGGTCTGCGGCCAGCGCGGAACAAAGTCTCTGGGCCCGGTCACCCCGCAACACATAAACTCCCGTTGCAGCCGATCCCATTGCTCGCTGAATCGCGGCTCTTTTCCGTAGTCCACCTGCGAACCGAACAAGTATGTATATAAGCTTTTTCTTGTACTATATATCAAAATTAAGTTTCCTCGCGTAAAATCCATCAATTTCTTTTCGTCAAATTTCAAGCTTCTTCGCGTTCAATGATATAAAATAAAATCGCACGCCGAAGATTTTCGTTATCTTTTATCAGTAAAGGAGAATAAAAATTGATCTAATCTTGTATTTATTTTCAGCGAAATTGGATGGACAGTTTACAATTGTATTTTAATCGGCAAGCAAAAAGGAGAATGCATTTGACTGATCTCTTGTACTCGAGTTCCGACACGCAGAAACTTTTTACACTGATGTATAGCATAAGAAAAAGCATTCGTGACAATCCGCGATGCTCGCAACGAGAGATTAGCAGTCTTATCATGTTGGCTGTCGACGAGAATCGAGCGACGATGTGAAACCAAAGTGCGTACCTGCAAACGCAGCCTGAGCGTGGGCCTGAGCTCAGCGCGCATTTTTTCGAAATGGAAGATCCAGAAGACGCCGATGATAGCGTCGCCGAACAAAAGTAACAGCAGCACAATCCAGTAACAGTGGAGTAGACGAGCGCTGAGTCGTCTGGCGGCGATACAGCCGAGCAGCTGCACCAGGCCTAGCTGTCCCGCGAGCGCCAAGTAGCCGTAGACCGCGGTGAAGTCGTAGGCACGAGGCACACCCGGCACCACGTACCGACGCGGGTCGCCGCTGAACAGGAGGGTCTGCGACACCGCGGCGGCGAAGCCGACCGCGCTACCGAACAGCACCAGGTTACAGGCGTAGATCCAGAGACGGTAATATCGCATCGCGACGTCCTGACCACCGCCGGCGAGCCGTTGGGACGTCACCGACGACGGCGCCTCGTCGGCGGCGTGATCGTGGCTGCTCCTTTCAGCGTCCCTCTTGAAAACGTTGTTATTGTTGATGCTATTGTTGTTATTATTGTTGTTATTGTTGTTGTTATTTGTAGTTGTCGTGGTGTTGGTATCGGTCGAGTGCCGATGTTCCTCACGGTCGTCCTCCAGTAGAAAGAGAAAGGGCGGCTTCGCGCTGCAGTCCTTCGTCGCTGTCTTTTGGCTGTGCGTCGACTGCGGGGTGACTGAACGTTGCAGCAGCATCACCGTCATACTATCGTGCCACCCTGGTGTGCGTGTCCTCGTCGTAAGGATTGTACCCCGCGGATGTGGGGGGGTGTCGAGTGGGAGAAAGACGGGCCAGCGCGTTGCACCGTTGGTGGATTGAGCACCGGTCGCCGCGGTTACTTACTTACACGGGGGGTGAAGAAGGAGGCCGAAACTTTTACCCGAGATCAGCGTGAGTCACGCGAGGCACGTCGCGCTACATCGCCGCACCGGAAGGTCGTTCGTGGTAGCGTTCATGGTCCCCCCTCGTGTCACGTTTGCTTGTCGTGCACCGCGAATGGCGGTCTTCTGGTTCCGATAACCGTGTGTGGATGATCTTCCTGCGGAAAGATATACAAGAAGGTGTGAGAGACGGATTCTTCATAAACATTCTTTTTATCTAACTCCGTGTTTTTTTTTTGCTTAAGCTCTGAGAAAGTTTAGATTTTTTGTTTTAGGCTTTGGGAACATTTTCTCATCTTCTCGATTCCTGATCCTGGATTTTTTTCACTTTCTTATCACATCGCACAACTCAAATCCGCGGTATAATCCTCCCTCCTTTCGCGGTTTAACGGGGACACGGAATTCAATGTGCGTGCATTTCGAGGCGAGGGTAGCGGCGGCAGGCGGCTAGCGTGCGCCTCGTTGAATTGTATTTCTTTCTGACAGTTGTAGCGTGCGATAGGCGATTCTATTTATCGATTTTCCGCCGCTTAGTTCTATGTAGCTTCTCCGAGGAGAGACGGAGATAAATCGCATGAGATAGAGAGAGGATATGCGCCTGAGTGAGTATATTGGCATGAAGAGTCGCCGATTCCGTGAGCGAGTGAGAAAAATGCAAAAAAAAAAAGGGTAGCATGTGCGCCGGATAAGAGAAAGCATCAGAGACATACAATTGACGGAAAAAAAGACAAAGTAAGAAAAGTACTGCCGATTCGATATTAATACAGATTAAATTTACAAAGAGAAGTATTAAGTTTTCTTATACAATTAATTTAAGAAAAAAAAATATAAGATGATAAAAAGCTACTGTACTTTTGGAACGCATACGAAATAAATAAATCACGGGAATGAGAGGAGGTGTGAAAGAAGAAGAAAACGATCTCAACGAAGATCTTTCGTGAGAATTTCGATCGGAGATTATCATCAGAATCGCGGTGCGAATACAATCATGCATCACCGATCGCAGGCCTCGACCGAAACGATGAGCCAAAGTGTGCTCCCGTTTCTCGTGCACCGGCAGTCGCGTTACATGTACAGGCCGTCATCGCGAGTATATGCGAGTGGCGCATTGTAACGAAAACACGGAAGAGCGAGAGAACGGTAAGGGACCATCGATCGTTTAAACCTTGCGCGTTAGCGCGCGCTCTACACGACACGACGTATGAGGAGCAAGGAGCGTGTACACAGGATTGAGCGAGAGAGAGAGAGAGAGAGAGAGAGAGAGAGAGAGAGAGAGAGAAAGGTGCCGGACAACGCGCGTTACCTCTTTTCGTCCTAATGAAGAAACGACTTCCCAGCGAGCAGAAACGACTTTTCAGGCGAGCAGTAACGTTTCTGGCCGGCGTCCAGTACCGATATATTTTACATAATTTTGACGGAACGGAAAAAAATAGAGAAGAGGCGCTCGCCGATCGATGTCGCGCAATGTCGCGTGCGATCTTTCCTCGCCGCCGGATGCCGGGACGAGGGACGTGAGAGCGAACTACTGCACGCCTCCTACAGGAACCGAGTAGACAGACAGCGAGTGTGATAAAAAAAGATTATCGAATAGCTTTAATTAGATATCGATACGAGTGACATGTCGCCGAAGAAGAGGCGCGAAAAGCTAGAGAGAAAAAGGACGACGAGAGGCGCGCGCGCGCAAGAGAGAGGAGAAGGAGAACGAGGAGGAGGGTTGGAAGGTGGCAATGGATGTAGGGAGGGAACGTGGCGTTATGCAATCTTCCTCCCGACCTTCCCGAAGGAATTTATCGTCGCTAGCCATGTCCTATTTTTGCCACATACAAACGAGAAAATGGCTCGTATGCACCGTTATGCATCCTTCGATTCCAATCGATCCGCATAATCGAAGCGATAATCGTTAAAGATGCACGCACCCTCGGCGCACAACTCGAATCGCTCACTTCGAGCAACCCACATCGTAGCGTACTAAAGTCCCCCGCATCCGTAAAACAAAAATAATCCCAATTTCTTTGAATCGCGCTAGAAATTCAACGATTCGGGAACGAAGAGGATATACGCGAGAAATGGCCGCATGGCGCGAAAAAAATGACACCGTTCTGCGTTAACTTATCTGATACATAGATACCTTTTTGCTTGGAATTTGCCGGGGCGAAAGGCACACGCGAATGTCAGCGAGTCTCTTTTCCTTCCGAACGAACTTTGGTCCTTGCGATTCTTGTCGATGAACGAAAATTCCGGACGTTAAGGAGAGGAGATCCTTTTTCTTCGGAAATCTCGCTATCGGGGAAAGTCCTTTGGAAAAAAGTGCTTTTACTTGAGAGTCGACGAGTTTGATTCTTCTATTTGTGCGATACTTCACATAGGATGCGAAACACAATGCGAATTCAAACGTTGAAGGGTCGAGGTTCGACGAGACCGCGGTTGTCCCTCGTTTTTCACCTTAGATTTGCGCTTTCTACGACGCAAATTTACATCGTCGATCAGCACCTGTGTGCGCACGAAGGCGCAATTGTTCACCGAGAGATCGCGAATCGCTGCAGCTGGACGCTGTCAATCGGGCCGAGCGTATGGCGGTCGAAGTATACACGAGGAACGTGATCGTCGTCGTCGTCGTCGTCGTCGTCGTGTTTGCAACACTTGTTCCACGGGCATCGCCGCGAAAGTTCTCGGCAACGTTGTCCACGTCGTTCATGCCAGTCGTCCACGGTTTCCTTGTCATGCGTCCTCTCGCAACACCCTTTCACTAGTGCTTCATCGACGTCCCCGTTGATGCCTTTGTCTTTAACTTCTCCGCCGGCAATATTCCTGTTGTCGTTCTATTTCTTGTCAGCGTGTTCCGGTCCTCGTTTTTGTCCTTGTCGTCGTTCTGGTCGTCGCTGTCATCGTCATCGTCGTCGTCGTCGTCGTCGTTGTCGCTGTCGTCCTCGTCTTTGTCTTCGCAATCGACACTTGACAAGGCTGCCGCCAGCCGTAGCGCATGTCGCTCATACGACGCTTTGTAACACGGCGCGACGCGCTGCTTCCCACTGCCACGGATCACGCAGAGTCGAGAGCTCGTGCGCGCGTCCAAACGTCGTCGCGACGCCGCGGCCACGATGCTCGACGCTCCTCACCCTGCACGCCCGGCGCATGGAGCAATGTTGTGATTCTTACTCTCTCCCTCTCTCTCTTTATCTATTTTATTTCCTCCTATCCGCAGACAATGCGCGGTGTCGAAGGGGTGCAAACCGAAGGGTGGTCGTGTCGAATAGCGCTCAAAGTAGGCAACTTGCGATAAATAACTGCGCAAGGATCGGGATCACACTATCACTCGAGAGACAGACCGATAAATAGATGGATAATATGGAAATGGACGAGCTGTTTCGAAATAACAAGCAGTGGCTGTTTGATAGCTTTCCATTATTCATTTTGATTTTAGCCCGCAAAAGATCGATGAAACTCTTTAACATATTGAATCAAGATAGACTATCGTCATCGAAAAATAACAACTTTGATAGACATAAAGGATGCGCACAGTCGCTACTACAGCACATGGAGTAGAGTTAAGGTAGAGGGAAGAAGAAAAATATCTTACTTTATATGTTCCCGAATGTGGTGGAAGCAAAGTAGATAGCAATGCAATAGGGCAAAGAAGACAAAAGGGGCGAATACTATGTCAGTTTAGATGTACCGCGATAGATTCTTTTATGTTTACCTCAAATATCTATCCTCAGCAATGTGATCTCGGAGCGAATGTGATTCGGTATATAATCGTTACAAATCAAAGAAAGATGAGAGTATCAAAGTAAACATCTCTTGTGGCCTCTTTTTTTTTGTTGGCGAGGATATACACTCTCTACAACACATTTTTCTCATTTTTCTATGTATATTTAAGTGCGTGAAAAATAGAATTTGTTAATTTTAATAATTCTCAAAAAAGTGATTATTTTGCAGTGTGACGGCAGAATGCACGTTGGACGAAGCAGAGAAAGTTGCGGCGGAGTCGGTCGAAACGTTGCCGATGCGCTCATCAAGCTCGGCTTGGAAAACACGCGTCTGATATCCGTCATTGGTAACGATGAGCCCGGGAAGATCATTCTCGAGAGTCTAAAAGACGGAGGCAAGACGGTGAAATGTATGTCGAAAGTGACCACCCCGAGGTACGAATTACAATCTTGCCGATAATTTGTTACTTAACGAATTCGGTAAAAAAATGGTCCAACAGCTTCGTTAAAATAAAATATATACCATTAATGTTACAGGTTTACTGTGATAGTGGACACCGAAGGTGAATGTCACTTCGGCATCAGTGAAATGGAATCCTTCAGCGCGATCACTCCAAAGTTAATAAAAGAATATCAGTCGCATCTCGAACAAGCTAGTCTCATCGTTTTAGATGGAAATCTCGAATTGGATACAATGCGCTGCGTGCTGGACATAGCGTCGCGAACAAACATACCAGGTGAGTAAAGAAAATATTTTGTTGTAATTGTATTGAAAAAAAAGAAAGGTTTTCTCTGTCTATTATATTTTATATTTGCAAGTCAAACGATATAATTTTGACTCTATCGTACAATTATGTATAATATAAATTTATAAAATATACATAAAAGTTGTAATAAAAATTCTAAATACATAAATATACGTTAGAGAAAAAGAAAAGGTGACAATATCAATACATACATTTGTGTATTTTCTAAATTATTAAAATTATTTCATCGCATTTTTCAATTATCTCGCTTCTGTCTATAAAAAAAGTTCTACTTAAAAGATTGTATAAAAAATATTAATATTATTGGACGGATAAAATCGTACACACTAGGTACTGTCTTTTAAGAAACAGATGGTATCGCTTGTTAAGCTTAACAATGGTAAAGATTTTATCTGAATTTCCTTTAAAGACATGATTTGTAATATTATACATATCCGCTTCGTTGTGATCCATGATGAGAACTCGTTTGCGGATTTGGTTGCATCTGCATTACCAAATTACGAGATTCTTTGCGCAATCTGTAACCTGTTCGCGCATCCAGATATAAGAAGAATGCGGCAAATCCATGAAAGAAGAACGATATGACTGCAAAAGCGTAAGACCACGACAAGTGATTAAAATTCGGGTACATTAACCAGTCACGACGCCAACACTGCCCACCAAATATGGCTACAGCCAAGAAAAGAAGTCCACCTGAAATTAAAGAATATTTAGAAAATCAAAGTCTAATCACTTTCGGCTTTAGTTTAAAATTTTTCTTACTGGCCACTGCGTTGCATAAGAATGCGACAGATGATAGAATCCATTCGTAAGTCAAAACAAATTTTAATGGCCAACGTATCCAGATCAAGCTTATCACAGTGAAAGCGAAGCAGGAGAGTAAGAGAGCCAGTGTAACAAATGCCTGTACAATCATGAGCCACGCTGGTAGCAGCCATTCTCTTATAACATAATATTCTTGCGAAAAAATATGATGGCAGCCATTAAATTTTTTGTCAAACTGATAATACGGATAACGAAATTGGTCAAAGCAATATTCCCAGAGTCCCATATGTTTGAAATTATTGAATGTCTCTTGATACGATTCTATCCAGTATGGGCTGAAAACAATTGGGAGAATCAATGTGTCACTTTTGCAAATCTTGCATACAAGGCAATAAGAAGTAACAGTTACTGCGTTTATATTGAAATTACTATGAAACAGTGTCAGAAATATGTGTATTTACCTTACAAAGGCCATCATTACGAGAAAGAGTGCTATGTACGTGAGCCCTCCCCCGAAAACGACGGCGTCTATCCGGAAAAACAATTAGGTATAGGTTAATTGAAATTAATATTTGATCATTCCATGTTTACTATTCAGTTACTCACTCGACGCTCTGTGATACTCTTGTTTATCCACCGACATGGTGAATTTTCAGAGAAAAATAACGTGTAGCCGATTCTTCGAAATAATATTCGTTGACGATTATTGTTGTCGTTCATAAATACTTTCCTATTCAGACGTCGCCACACCTTACTGTACGCCGTTGCTACCAACCTTGCCAAGAGAGTGACGTTATCTGCAAAATGGCGTCACACTCATTACAGAATTATAGGTTATCTCATATATTCTCATATACAGGATACTTTAAATTTCTGGACATGAATCTTGTCTATCAAGAAATATAATTTCATTGAATTTAGGATATACACAGGATTTAGAATATAATTTAGGATATATAAATAATTCGAGACGTTTAAATGGAATTGATAGGATGTAAAGTAAATAAATAATAATAATAAGTGTTTTAAACTGGAAATTTTATTCAATAGAATAGTGTATAAAATTTTACAATATCTAATTAGTTTTGTTATTAAAAATGACGATTTTCTTGGATATGTGTGTATCCACATTTAAAATCCTTAATTGTGCAATAATCTTGTACATCTTGTGCATTAAATGTTACATATGTATTTTATTATGGGACATATAAAGCGTGTGTATATATACACATATATTTTTACATCATGTCTCATAATTTGTCTTTCAAAAATTGTAAAAGTTTGTTAAAATGATAAATCAGCTAAAAAATTGCTGATTTTTTTTTACATAATCCATAATTGACAAATTTTAATCGATTAAATCTTTTTTGTGTTTAGAAAAGCTATTGCTCATGATAATAAAATCAGACAAACTATTATATTATCTAGTTTTTCACGAATTTTTTTAAAACTATTGTACAATACTATCGTCCTACATGACGTATATAGAAAGATATAAAATATATCGTACAAAAATATTGAACTTATACATTTTAATCTAAGCTTAAATTAATACAATCCTGGTTTTGTACATTCTATAAAAAAAAAGATTCTTCTATGAGAAAATCTCAGATCATGGACGGAATGATAGGACGGAATTACCCTAATTTTTGCGTAGAGATTCTTGTGCGCTACTTCCATAAACAATCGAAAAACGCCAATTGTTTAGGCGCGAGATTCGAGTGGAAATCGCGTTTGAGATTCTTTCAGATAATTTCGCTTCTTCCGTTGCACGCTTGCTTCCACCAGAAGCAAGACGCTCGCAACTAACATTAATACACTGCCTATGACGCCTAGAGCAAACGACCATCCTAAGTAATTATTGGCGTGTCCAGGCATCCATCCATCCGTGTTTCCAAGACAGGCGAATATAATGACTGCCAAACTACCACTGAGACCACTGGCCAGCAGCAAATAACCGATGGTGGTTATAAGCTCGATGTATTTCTTTCGCTCAGGATCGCAGCATAGAGTAAAGAGCAATATCAAACAGAATGATATTAGACCCAGCAGAAAGCATATTGTGAAGAACACTTGGGTGGCTATCATGAATGCTGTAACAAGAAATTTTACTTAGTTAATGTACTTCAATTAAACAGCGAGAAAGTACTTCACTCCTGTCTATCATTCTTTATAACAGTAATTCCTTCAACTTTGGTTCTGAAATCTTTTTCGGACAGTTAAACAGGTGGTCATTATGAATCGCAAGTCTTTAATGTTTTTCGTAAACGTCTTTAGAGATCCAAAAAAAAGAAAAATGGTGATTGTTTGCTGTTAAAAAAGAATGACAGTTTCTTCGGATGTTTCGCGTTGCTTGGAGATGCTTACGAGGCAGTAGGAAGCCACGAATCTCGGAGTAACCTGCGGTGAACGGGTCGTAGACCCATCTGCAGCCGACGAAAAATCGTCTCGGTGCATCGGACTCCTGAGGATTCGGCAATGATCTGAAACAATGCTGCCACAAACCGAGTCTGTTGAGCTGAGCCCCAATGATTCGTGGGTCGCTAACCAGCCATGCGGGTGTGCCGAATGCGACGCACACGCACACAAACGCCACCAGGAATACGCCGACGCCGACGTTGCCGGACAGAGTCCTCTTCTTCATGCCGCCGCTCTCCACAAGTTTCCTGTTTCCGAGATCGAGAGTGTCGACTGATAAGCACGCTTGCTGCTCGCCTGAATACACAGCAAAATCTACTTGTCACACAGTCCCACCTAACGATCTCACGATCTCACGATCTCACGGTACTAATAAACCACACCCAAGCAGACTGTGTTATTGGTGGAGCGAATGGTCACGAACTGAACCTAACCTAACTTATGCTGCATCTCACCTCGAACGACGCGCGAATATCCCACGAGTAGAACGTAACATAACAAACGTCTTATGCGTACGTACAGGGCCGTCTGCAACGAGTCCGTTTTACGGTGACGAAAACCGTTCACACAGAAATTTCTAACAAGACAAATTCATACATGAAACTTGTTTTATTTAATGTGCAAAAACGCACGATGAGACGTGAACCATGAAAATGGGAAAAGGAAGCATTTCTTCTGATAGAACGTATAAGCAGATTTTTTGAGATTCTTTGAAATTAATGATGGATAAACGAAAGTAACCGACATACATGCGACATAGTTGGGAGCCCCGGTAATCCTAGCATAGCTCACGTCGACCCTGATTGTCAAGGTGCATGTGTCAGTATGTGTCACATTTTATTTATACATGTTTCTCTCTCCTTATAATCGCATTCCAACCTTGACGTCCTGTAGGACGTTAGCAGACCGCGAATGAACGCGTTTCTATACCTAAATCATTGCGCATTGAGTGAAGTGTTTTTTTTCCCCCCCTGATACAACCTCTGCTCGTAGTTTTTAGCTCTTTTTTTAGCCGTTACACTCGTTTTCTCTCTTATTTCTTTCTCCTTTCAAAGCCCAGAAATTACACGTTATTCGTGAATAGAAAGAACATCCTGTAATTAAGTCATGAAAACTATTCGCAGTTCCGCGACACGAATTATCGCTGAATAAGATTTCTCGAAAGATGCGGATGCGTCAGGCATTACAAGATTTCAGTGTGCGATTTACAATGACGCATTCATAGGCTGCGACACAGTGACGTAGCTGCGGAAAACTTAACGCGGTCGATTAAAATAGAATCTGAATTAGGGCAACTACTTGTGGACATGTCTCTATGTTATCGCGCGCGTGCACGCGAGAAACCCGTATCTCGTAATTTACAATGAACAATTATTCACGAGAGCAAAGTAGGTCACTATTTACAGTATACAATGCCTAATTGATTCACTTTACATTTTATAAATTATTAAATGAAATCTTAACACTCAAATGACAAGGCATCGGCAATTATAAAAAATCTTTTTATTATATTGTCTATATTCATTATACAAAAAAAAAATGTATTTTTCGCAATATTCATACTTGTTAAACCTATGTACATATACAAAAATTAATCTCTTACTAGTTCTTTTGGAACAATACACATAATGGACGGATTAGTCACGATATGTTTGTTACATTTGATCGACATATTTACGACATTTAAAAAAATACAAAGTTTTCTGAAATATTTTGTATATACCTTGAGAAATTTTACTAACGTAAGGATAATCTGAGTGGTTCGTATCCTAGTAATTAACATGCATACGTATCTTATACGATATTCATGTTATCAAGTTTAATTATAACAATATGAAATGAGTCTTAAAAGGTTCATCTGCAACTTATATTCAATAAGATTTGTGTTTTCTCAGCGTTTAATATATATTGTGAATATCTGTTGTATATTTTAAATTGTTACGTGAAAATATGCTAAATGGTTGTATGGGTCTTCTGTTCCTCATTCAATATTCGCTCTTGCCTCTTTCTATGCCTACGTCCTTCAACTAAGAACAGAATACCAGCAGCTATCAGGATAACACTACCCACAACGGCTAAGGCAAAGGACCAGCCAATGTCATTGTGCTCCCAATTGGGCATCCAGTCTCGTCCATCGCCCCTGGCACCGAATATAATTACCGCTATAATACCGCACAGCCCTGCTAAGGTTAAATTACCACCATTTGCCCACAAGAGCAGCTGGTACTTGTCATGATGGCGAGAGCAACAAGTATACAAGATAGTCAGGAAGCTTCCTATTAGCAATAGAGTCAGGCACAATGTGAAGAAAAATTGTGTGGCGACGAAGAAATCCGGCAGAAGTATATCATGTATGATATAATATTCTTCCTCAAAGACCCACCAACAGCCGTGGAACCTGGTGTCATAGAGATGACGCGGGTCTTGAAATCCTTGGAAACATACTTGCCAGAGACCTGCAAAAAAATCAGCTTTCTTTTTCCATCCATTTTCTTACTACGAAGTTAAACATCTTTCTAAAATTTATAATTATTAAGAATGGACAAATATATATTTTTTATCATTAATTGGATGCAATTGCGTATAAAGAAACTGACTCTTAAAGATTTATCACTTTTCAAATATAATTAGCAATTTAAAAAGAAACAATGTGATTAATGAGAATAATATTTTTGGTAATCTTCTCATAATGCACAACACCACATATATTTAATAATATTGTGCAGTAGAAATGTAAACTCTAAAACTTGGCAATTACTTTTCCTTTTTTTATGTGCAATTGTGTACGATCATTTAACGTTATCATAATCGTTAATTTATGAATTTCTACACGTGTACCTACTGTATCCACGTAATCTTACCGATTTTGACGAATTGCGGATTATCAAGTTTTCCGTCGGTTTCCAGCCAATTGGGTGTGGTAAATGCAATTACTATGAAAACGAATGCCACAGCTGTGCAAGCGGCAGCGGCTTTGCCTGTTTTTGTTTTACCCATCATTCACAAAGCGTTGTCGATGAAAAAGAATATATATATATATGGGATAGCGAACAAAAAAATACAAAATAATTGTCCAACGTAACGTTGTTGTCCGTCCACTTGGGACATAAAATCACGCACTTGGCTTGGAACAAATTAGTTCGATTGATTAACACCAGAATGCGTTGTATATGCTACACATTTCACACAAGTGCATAGTTCCCCGCATTCTCCAATTCGGCGGTTTCTCGTCATAAAATGCTTTGCGAAGGAAAAATTCTATTTATTAAATAAATGAAAAAACATTTCTGTCATTTCCTTTTTTTTATCACAAAATTAATTTTTTGTTAATTTATTATTTAATCTATTAATTTCTATTAATTTGCAATAGATTTTCTACTAATGAACATTCTTGATAACGCAAAAAGTAAAATGATTTGAATAGTTTGAATGAAAATGAGACAAATAAAGGATATTAATAATATTCTTTGACAGTTTGGTACGAGCCTACAAACATTCCACATGCAGCAAAAATATTCGAAACTGGACAACAGTGGAGAAGGATATTGCATTTTATCTCACCAAATTGGAACGAGTTAAAAGTCATAGCCAAATTTTTTAACATCCCTACTGTTGAAAACATGGATTTGACAGCTGTGAGAAATATAGCTGAACAATTGATAGAATACATTCCGGTCGTTATAACTACTTTAGGATCACAGGGAGTATTGGTTTGTAAACCTAAAATTTAATTTGTTAATTAACAATATTTCCCAATATATTTATTTACTTTTTATTTTACAGGTGACACGCAAAGCTTCATCACATGAGCCCTTCTACAATGAAAATGGAGAACTGATTGTTAATTCTTCAATTGCATCTCGATTGTATCCCGTCGCAAATGGTGCAGAGAAATCAAATGAAATACTCTGCGTAAGTGGTTGCGGGGATTGTCTTACTGCTGGAATAATATATGGAATCCATAAGAATCTAGATGAAGTTAATTGTATCTCTATAGCTTTAAAAGCTGCTGCATTATCTTTGAGGTCTTTTGACACAGTTCCACAGACACTTGTAATGCTCTCTCGTAGCAATAAACAATGATTAATACTAATTTCTTTGTGATGTAACTTCTTCAATATAACAACAACTGTAATAAATCAACGTTAAAAATTTTATTGTATTCTGTTTACACTAGCTACTGTAAGTAGCTGTCAAAGCAAATAACATATTCTATTATTATTGCCACCATCACATCACCACTACTACTACTACTACTACTACTACTATTACTACTACTAAAACTATTTCATATCGATTAGATGTGTACGAATTCGTGCTTGTAAAATCAATATAAATGTTTTTCCATTGACGTAGCGTTATTTGATGTTTTTGTGAGTAGTCGCCGAAAACTTGGAATAATCGCGACAATTAATAATAGCTTGTCCGTATTTGTTTTCTTAAATGTGTAGAAAAACTTTTGGGACCGTGTCAGGTGTAAAATAAGCGCGTGAGGCTTATAAACTAGACGTCGCCGTACACCAAACAACTTCAGAGCGCTAAAAAATGTACATACACTGTGATGCGACACGTCAATCGAAACAAAAAATTTGTCGCGTCTCTTTGTCTACACTTTCTACACTTAAATGACTGCGAATGCGATGCGTGACACAAGTGAGACAAAGAGAAACAGTATGAAAAAGTTCGAAGATGCCATGATGTATCATGACGTAGTCGGTGGAAGAGTAGGGGACCAATGGCGGTGTGCCGGACCGATCACGTGGCGTACGCCATCATTGCATTTAACCCTGGTGACCGAGAGGACACAATACTGAGAACGAGAGAAACGAAGATACATAATAAGGAGAGTGCGCGAAAGCGAGATAGGATTAGATCAGCGTAGGGAGAAAGAGAGTGAGAGAGAGAGAGAGAAGGAAGATTTAAACACACACTACACACAAGCATACATATCACACACCAATCACACGCGCGAGAGCGTAACTCTAAACCGTCATTCTCAGCGCATATTCATTGGTATCACACACGCACACGTGTGCAAAACGAAAGAGAGAGAGAGAGAGAGAAAAAGAAAGAGAAAGGGAGAACGAACCGAGCGAGCGCCGTTACGATAAAAGAGAAGTTCATTTTTCGGAGAGCTGTTCAATGGTCGCGGCAGCTATGCGCCACGCTGCCGTCGCCACCGCCATCATCGTCGTCACCGTCGTTGTTGTAGAGTACCCAACTAGATAGTTTCGACGGACTACTACGTGAGTTAGTCGCGTCTCGGTGTTCGTCAGTTAATAGACGGGCACGGGCACGCTACGACGCGCGCGCGCGCCTCGGACCTCGTCGTCGTCGTCGTCGTCGTCGTCGCTGCCGCTGCCGCCGTCGTCGTCACCGTCGCCGTCGCCGCTGCTGTCGCTATCATTTCTACGAAGATGACCATAATAGTCTTTCTGATCGACACGTCGGCCTCTATGAATCAGAGGGCTTATTTGGGCGGGCGACCCACGCTCTTGGACGTAGCCAAGAGCGCCGTGGAGACTTTCGTTAAGGTACGCCCCCGATACGTGCGGATACAGCTTTTACGCGCCGCGCCGCATCGCCGTCCTCGTCGCCCTCGTCGTCATGATCGTGCTATATAGCAGGGAGAGAGAGAGAGAGAGAAGAGAAAGAGAGAGAGAAAAAGGTCGTATATTTATCTCTCTCTGGTTTATTAGCCTTCTAGGCGACGAAAAGGATGACGCGGACTGTTATTGCATTGTGTACGAAAAATGATACGTAAAGCAAAACTTTTCTTTCTAGGTGCGACAAAGATCGCCGGAGAGCCGTGGGGATCGTTACATGCTCCTAACCTTCGAAGAACCGCCTCAGAACATTAAGGTATGTTTTCGCTTTTGCGTTTTTCCATTCTAAATTCGTGCGCTTTTTTTTGCTAGCTTTCATTCTTCATACGCTTTTCCCGCTTTTTATCTACGTATACATGACCCTTCGTGTTAATTCAGCTATCGTGCGAGAATGCTTTCTGAAAAACACTGGTGTTCTCTTTCCTTCTTCATCTATTGTCGAATCACGAGAAAGTTTATCCAATCGCGCCAAATAATACGCCAAGTACATGACGGATACGAGGCGTTCATCCATTGCCAGAAGCATGGTTGAGAACAAGCGCTGTTCACTCGAGAAAAAACGTTTTTAGCGCTCTCCCAAATCGCAAACGCAACAGCCTCCATCGAGTGGAAAATTTATTTTAAGACATTAAATTTATAAATAATAAATTTTTTAAAATTTCTAATCACTCTATACGTAAATATAATTATCTTTATTTTACAAAAAAAAATATAACGAATCTTAATAGGGTAGAAATAAATTTGGGAAAACTGCAAATAATATTTTGGAATAATGTTTTTCAGGCGGGATGGAAGGAGAACTTGGCGACTTTTATGAATGAACTGAAGAATTTACAATGTATCGGCTTAACAACATTGGGTGCTGCCTTGAAGCATGCTTTGGATGTGCTAAACATAAATCGTATGCAAACTGGCATCGACACGTACGGTCAAGGAAGATGCCCCTTTTATTTAGAGCCGTCTGTTATAGTTGTTATAACAGACGGAGGAAAGTATACAACCAATAGTGGAGTGCATCAAGATGTAAGTGCAATTGTTTCTGCCTATTTGACTGTACAGTGGTACAATTGAATGAAGTGTACAATTTTTGTTATCGTATGAAAGAAAATGGATTTCCTTTACAGTTTACATTGCCAATGCATTCCCCGATACCTGGGTCTGAATTAACAAAGGAGCCGTTTAGATGGGACCAAAGGCTGTTTTCTTTGGTGCTGCGTTTATCCGGAACACCGGCTGTCGAACGAGACATAGGACTGGTGGCGAGTGATGCGTCACCAATAGATGCAATGTGTGAAGTGACTGGAGGTAAAATATAGAGTGTTGCAACTTGGCATTATAGCCCTTAATTTTTTAATGAATTATAACTAATTGAATTGTTCGTGCAAAAATAGTATCAGGGTGCAATTTTGAAAATTGCAATGCTTTTTTACAGGCCGCTCATATTGCATCACATCGTTTCGGATGATGATACAATGTATAGATTCGCTGGTACAGAAAGTCCAATCGGGCGTAGTAATAAATTTCGAAAAAATTGGCCCCGATCCACCACCGATGCCCAATGAGATCCCACAGCATCAGGACGAAGAAGAGAACGAAGATGACAGTAATGCGGCGAACGGGCCGCGCGCTCAATATCCCAATGCGTTAGTGTCGGGCAACACGGCTTGGTATTCCTGCAGACGTTTGATTTACGTGCCGCGATCGGCGCAGAAGGGATTCGCGGTTGGGTTCTGGCCGATCCCTGAGAGTTTCTGGCCGGATCTCAGCGCCAGCTCGTTGCCGCCGAGATCGGCACATCCCAATGTGAAATTTACGTGCACCAGCCAGGAGCCGATGGTAATCGAGAATCTGCCATTTGATAAGTACGAATTGGAACCGAGCCCTTTGACTCAATATATTCTGGCACGAAGACAGCCGACAACGTGTTGGCAAGTGTTTGTCGCCAATTCTTACAAGTCGAGCGAAGTGGGCCATCCGTTCGGTTACTTGAAAGCGAGTACAAATCTAACTTGTGTAAATCTCTTCGTTATGCCTTACAACTATCCTGTACTGTTACCCCTGTTGGAGGAGCTCTTTAAGGTACACAGACAAAAGCCGACGGCCGAATGGAGGACGCAGTTTCAGAATTATATAAGAACCATGCCTACTTATTACGCCGCCGTAAGTTTGTCTATATTTTGGTAATTATATGTACTATTTTCAAATTGTATCAAGTTGTCCTTTATCCGTTGCAGTCGCTGAGGAGAGCGTTACAAAGGATGGGTGCGTCCGCACCTCTAGCACAAACATTGATACCGGATAACATGGATAATTCTCTGTCGTATAGTGTTTTAAATTATTTGAAGAAACTGAAAAATCAAGCCAAAATGGAATTTGATCGGCTCTGCAACGAAGTAATTTCCAAGCAAGTCGCCGCTTCGAATCTAACGAAGAATTTATCGAATTGTACGACGAGCACGGTGACGGAAGGAGTGAGAGTGATACCGAGAACGCCTCTGAAAAAAGATTTGGTGAGATTTATTCTGTTGAAAGCATCGGATTTTTTAATTTATAACTTAGTCATGAAGAATTTATGGCATACTTGGCAGGTCTCCCATCCTTTATTGCAAGACAAGTTTACGGGTCTTCGCGATCAACTGAATGAATTCGGAGGCTTCGTGGTCGGATTGGTAAGGAATCAGCAGCAGCAACGTGGCGCGCATAGTTACAGAAACGCTTTCGACGTGCCGCGGAAGTCCCTCCTCGATCAAGTTGTGAGAATGCGAGCAAATTTTTTGCAACCTGGTTTGTTGCATACAAAATTGCTTGACGATGACTACGTTCACTCGATGCCCTTAGCCCAAATGGGCAATTATCAGGAGTACTTGAAACGTATGACTCCGCCATTGAGAGAAATCGAAAGCGTACCAGTGAGACAGCACATGTTCGGTAATTATTTGACGAAACTCGTCGAGTTTTATATCGCGATTAAAATAACGCGCAGAGACATAATTTTACGCTACACTTTGATTGATCACAGGTAATCCCTTCAAAATCGACAAGAGGATGATGGTGGATGAGGCGGATATTGATATAGTCGGCGCGACATCTTCGACGTCTAAAGGCGGTCTCAAGCGTGCTTTACCTCAGTCGGACAGCGGAGGCTCGTCCTCTCCTAGACCGCCGCCTAACAAGAGAAAGCCCGGACCTATACCGAAGGAGATAACCGTGCGGCGACCCTCGTATTCGCCCGCCAATACTCCACCGAGTTCACCGATTCCGTGGGTGATGGAAGACGCGAAGAACGGCAAAACGACGATGGCAACGGTCGTCGAGGCGAGCCCTCCGCCGATCTTGACCTGCTCACCCAATGTATCACCGATTCACGCGTCAGTGTGTTCGAGTGCGCCGGAAAAATTGGTAAATGGACTCGCGGAAATGCCGACTATACCGGTTTACGAGCCAATTCCAGTAGAGCATATTAACAATCACATGGACATACCACCGGTTCTCACGCCGATAGTTAACAATGTTGACACAGTCTCAAAGAGTGAAGTTAAAAGTGAACGGACAGATAATGTGAGGAACGAGTGCAGTCGGTTACCCATTAACGATAGTACTGAGGATAGTGTGCGAGTTGATAGTGCCACGGAGGACAGACTGACGAATCATGTGGAGGAGAAGCGTGAGCCGAAGGTCGAGAAAGAGAAAAAATTGACAAAGAAAGAATTGGAAGACATCAGGCGGCATAATTTGAACATTCGGGAGCTCGTTTACAAGGAAGTTCGGAGAAACGGGACGAGTAAGTCAATTCTCGAATTGTGCGAGCCGAATCTGTCGCCGATAATGTATTCTCATCACCGACACATGTGATCCTATTCATTTTGTTTCAGGTTACGCAACACTGTTCTCACACTTGCATCAAATTCAAGGAAACTTGGACATACGGCTTGCATTTGTAAAAGACATAGTGAAGGAGTCGCTACGCTTTAAACGACGTAATCTGGCGTTGCTGTTAGAGGAGTATCTTAAAAATATTCAAGAGGATGGTTGTGCTATAAATCACAAGTTGAATCACAATGGTGCCACAAAGATAAGTTGTTGAGATTGATGCGTGATCAGGGCATTATATCTTAACAATGAAAAGAGTAAATAAAATAAAATAAACAAATTTGTGTGGAAATTTTTGCCAGAAATTTTAGTAGCAATCTCAATTTCTGAAATAAGATTACTTTTGATACTCACTCAGACGACCTGCACAAATGTAAAGTTTCAACAGATTTCACTAGCATTCTCGATATCGGTCGCATGGACAATGGCACTTTTACATTCTGTTTCTAATTTTGCGAGTGATCAGTTGGTAGAAATTTAGATGATGTTGCATATCATTCTGCAATTATAAATTAAAGCAAAATTATTTATTTACAGAATGTATTGACGACAGAAAAGAATTTCGTGGAGTACTATTCTGCTATGTGTACTATATTGGATTTTATTATATCTCTCGAAACGAATAGCCTCATCCTAAAACTTAACTGTTTAAATTTCTTTCCTTGTACGATATATATATGTATATAAAGGGGAGATTCAAAATCTTGATTTATTTCTAAAGTATTTTATGTGAACATGTGCAATCGTAATGTACCATTCGGATAACATGCATTTGGAGATCTTATCGTTAACAAGTCTACTCTAATATTTATGTAGTGATACGTGTAAATATGTTGACACATTTATTTTATCATCTATTATGACGTATTTTTCCATAATCTCCGAATTTTGTCTATATCAAGTAGGATAACATTATTAGAAAAGGTCTTGGATGCTGGCATGCAAGACAATAATTGTGGAAATATGCGAAGCAAAACGTTGCGAAAACGATATAAATCTTGTGTAAATGGCAAATCTGCAAAATGGAATTCTCTTTTTGGAAGTACAAGTATAATCAAACGTACAAGCATAATTCTACCAGCTGTTCAGTCCTCAGTACCTATGTCGAACTTAAGACAGGACAATTGTATTTGTAATATATCTTACAATTTATATTTCCTATTATAATTAATCTATCTATCATATATCTATCTATATACGTCATTTGTGATTTATATTATTAAGTTTAATAAAATGCCACAGTTTAAATAACACAAATTGTTTGTAAATTTTGTTGTGTGCTCTGTTAATATTGTACAAGCAAACTGAGATCTGACTTTTCACCGACATTACATTACGAAGACTGTATTTGCTTTTGCAATCTTCGTTTTATATGAAAGATGAAAACACATTTCTTTGTTTGAATTTCCGACAAAAGAAAATGTAACTTGAAATTCGTACTCCGTTATGACAGAATTTATTATTTATAATGTTTACTTATGCATTTATTGTGTAATTTATTGAATTAAAATGTCACGCAAAAACAAAATTCTTTTTTCACGTTCTAGTGAAGTTTTTCTTCTTTTGCGAGTTATAACATTTAGCTTTTATATTGCGAGACTTTCATATTAATGAAATTGTACCCCATTATGGATTAATATTGTACATGTAAATGAGACTAAATGCAAACTTGAATTTATTATATGAAATATATGAAAGATTGACACAAAAAATGGTTGATATTGATATAATGAAATTTGAAATCGATATAATGTGTTATATATAAATCAGTAATATGTAATTGTGAATCAGTTTTCAACCCACTACTTACATCTCTGAAACTTTTTTATAATGTTGTTTATTTGCATATACGTATATATTTTTAATTTTTATTTATTTCTAAACTCTTAAACTTGGCATTTCTCAATTTAAAGTAAATAAATATTGCACGGAAGCGTTTTAGACCGTGTTTAGAAAATGTTTAAGAATTATACACATTTCTCTACTATCATATGTAAAGTCTCTGTTATATTATACGAAATTAAAATAACTATATATACATATGACGTGTGTGTGTGATAACATCAGGATTTTATACTATGTGATAAGTTAAAGGTAAAATTGAAAATTTTATTTTAATTGTAATTTTGAACAAACGTATAATATAACAGAATTGAGATTGTATGTGCGTGCAATATGCATCTGAAATAATAGAACGAAATGTATTTCTATGCTTTATCCTCAAATCCTTATGTGTATATGCAACACAGTAGCAATTCAGAGCAATATTATTCTTCGAAAAAAAATTCTTCAAAATTAATTTTTTTATACACATGTGGGTTGAAGGACTATGTATTGATCGTGATAATTATTTCTACCACTATCAGTTAGAATTGAGAAAACAGTTTACTGTGGTTTTGTCGGAAGTGTTTTGACCAAATATTATATAGGGTGATAATAACAAATAAGGATGATTATCTTACTATTGATCTGTGACTTTTATACTGCTTGTCTCATAAAACATTATCAAATATTAATATCGCTACTTTATTATTTCCATTTAAATTTCTAAGGAAAAGGACAAATTAACACTAACAAATTTGAGAAATACATATCATTGATATTATCGAGTGATTATGCGGGATGTTTGTACATTCCGCTACTAAACGCTATCATATTTTTCAAAAATATTTCTCCCCTGCGAAAATTTTCAAGATTTTGTTAATTGTCTAAGTGAGATAATCAATCTTATTATTTTTTGTGGACTCTCAATAATGTCCTAAACTCTGTAAGAAAAGGTGTAAGCAAAATTGTATTTATTAGTTGAAAATGTTGAATATCTCGTAAATTATTTTATAATAATGGAGCTTAGCTGAGTCTCACGAAGGCGATGATGCTAGACGCTTATTTGCTCCAAAGAAATATTGATAGGAAGTTATTGAACATAATTATTGATAGGACACTAAGTGCGATTGTGTGTAAAAGAGATTATAATGGACAACTAGAAAAACCTAGTAAAAGTTCCAAGTACCTTGATTACAATCTCTTTTGTTACAGCAACTGTAATTTATCGCTGCATTAAGATTATTATTAAATTAAATAGAATAATTTCTCTCTACAAACTTAATTAGAAATTGTGCAAAGCAACGTATAAAATATTTTATCAAAGCAAGATTGTGTTTCTACATACTTTTGTTATTACTTTTGTTATATTGTCAATATTTATATACACATAGTTTATTATTTAAAAATTTTAACAAAAAATTACAATATAATAATTCCAAGTCTGTTGATAGCAGACTTTGTGAAACATCTGTAAGCTTTCTCAGAATGATAGGATTGCCATAAAATCTGTTACATTCCATAATTTGTAATTCAACTAAAATTTTAATGCAAGTCATATAGTCACATCATGTCTGAAAGCTTGTAAACTTGATTCATGCCAAACTGCTCAAACAGAATCTGCTATCAAACTACGAGCCTGTGCAATCATTTTATTATATCAGATTGCTCGTAACTATATAAAAGTCAAGTTTAAAGTGGATTGGATAGTCCCCTATTGGAACCTGTAAAAATGTTGCAAAAGATTAAAGAAAAAAAAAAAACAAAGAAAGAAACGAAAATACAAATATTATTTCTTTTAAATCGAATAGTTGTATCTCAAGTTGCTATAAAGGTATGAAAATGGAAGTGAGCATTGTGCGACATGTCTCTTTTAATGTATTATTTAAGATATTAGTAAATGTTAATTACTATTTTTTTACAATACTTATAATAGTGATAACGATATTTGCATGGTTGTATATGCAAAATTGTACATATGGCGTGATTAGTAATAATTATTATTATAGACGAAAAATTCATATTGAAACGACTATCCCATTTTTACGTTTATATTTTAGGTAAAACAATAAATGAAAAGTCTGGAATAAACAAATTGATAAAAATATCGCTATTCTTTCTCCCAAAGTAAATAATTTTGCTATCGAAAATATATGTGAATCATAGAACTCTGCATAATAAACGCAACTTCTCATATAAGCTTAGTAAAAATCTGCAGGTCGACGAAGATGTAGCTAGTTAGTTGTGTCTCTTTCCTTATGTGTGCTTATGCACGTGCATTTTGCTTTGTCCTAACCTAACCTAACCTAACCTAACCTAACTCTAATCCTAATGTATAAAGTTTTGTACAAACTGTTAAAGTTGAACGAAACTGAGAGATTAACATATTAAAATTAATTGATAAGTAATTATCGCATAATGTAGTTTAATAATGCAATATCTGCTAAATTTTCCGACACGTGAGGTTTCTAAATTTTAATTTTTGTATCAGAATTTAATGACTTGAACATGTTGGGACGTGTGCATTATGGAAAATATTTCAAAAAATATTTCACGCAACAAAACTATACAAAATCTCAATATCTTCGAATGTGTCGCGCAATTCATGAAACTCTTGTGCTCTCACATGCTTCTGTAGTTAATACAAATGCAGCCGAGAGAGCTTCAACAAACCATAAGCCACTGAGGAATGTTAGAGATGGACCTTCTCTGAAAGATTTTTTAGGATCATCAATTATTGACATGCCCAATGAAAAATCTGTTCCATATATACCGGACATTTGTGGCGAAAATCAAAAAGGTTTTTCAGAATGTTTTCAGATGTTTCATAAAGCATATTAGTCATTTTTATGTTTTATAAACTGTACAGAAAACGTATATAGTTATGTCATTATTGTTGCTTATTCTAGTGTACTTTGAAATTTATGGTTGCCAAATGAATGTAAATGACGCTGATATAATATGGTCAATACTGAAATCTCATGGTTACAAACAAACGCAAGATTTGAATAATGCTGATATTATATTGCTTGTTACCTGTTCTATCAGGGAAAATGCTGAGCAAAAAGTATGGAACAAGTTGGAGCACTTAAATGGCATAAGAAAGAAGAAGAAGAAACATATGAAAATTGGTCTTTTAGGCAAGTTTTCTCAATATTATTATTGAGACTTAACTGTTGACCAAGCTTTTAATTTTTGTAAAACAAAACCTTTGTATTTTGTATGTGCAGGATGTATGGCTGAACGTTTAAAGACTAAAATATTAGACAAAGGAAAGCTTGTAGATGTGATAGCGGGTCCCGATAGTTACAAGGATTTACCAAGACTTTTAGTAAGGACGGACAATGAAACAGCTATTAATGTTGTATTATCGTTTGATGAGACCTATGCAGATGTCATGCCAGTTAGGCTTGATCAAGATTCTGTTACGGCATATGTGTAATGTATTTATGTATATATATATTTTATAGACAATGATACATGTTTTCATCACATCTTTAACAGAAATGTTCTTATTATTATAATTTTCAGTTCCATAATGAGAGGTTGTGATAATATGTGTACTTACTGTATCGTTCCATTTACAAGAGGAAGAGAAAGATCTCGCCCGATTACGAGTATACTTGACGAAATTCGACAATTGTCGGATGAAGGAGTAAAGGAAATAACTCTCCTTGGACAAAATGTGAATAGTTACAGAGACTTGTCGCAATCGAAACTTGTGTTTACTGATAGAGAGACTCGTCTTGCCAAAGGTTTTAAAACGGTTTACAAAAATAAAAAGGGTGGTTTAAGATTCAGCGATCTTTTGGACAAAGTTTCTTTAATAAACCCAGAAATCAGAATAAGGTATCTGTGTAACGCCATTCACTCGTGCAACATTTAACTTCTAATACTAATTTATGATAATTTCTAGGTTTACATCACCCCATCCCAAGGATTTTCCCGACGAGGTGTTACATTTGATAGCCGAAAGATCTAATATCTGTAAACAGATTCACTTACCTGCTCAAAGTGGCAATTCCGCGGTTTTAGACAGAATGCGAAGAGGATACACTAGAGAAGCGTATTTGGATTTGGTACACCATATACGTGATGTTCTTCCAAATATACACTTGTCTAGTGATTTTATCGCTGGATTCTGCGGAGAGACCGAGGAAGAATTTCAAGATACGTTATCGCTAATAGAAAAAGTCAAGTACAATACTGCCTACTTGTACGCTTACAGCATGCGTGAGGTACAGTTCTTACATTGTTTCTGGAGAGTTGAAATCAAATAAAAGAAAATTTATACATGTTAATTTAAATTGGTTAATTTTTTACAATTATACACGAGATATAATTATCTTCTAGAAAACTGCGGCGCATCGACGATACAAGGACGATGTAGAGTCGCATGTGAAGCTAGAGCGTTTGCATCGCATGATTGCATTATACAGAAAGGACATAGAAAAGTTAAATAAGACGCAGATAGGCCAGCATCAACTCGTTCTTGTGGAGGGTGTAAGAACTTTTTATTTTATCTTCCTTTCTCTCTCTAAATGCTCCTTATTCTAATTTTATCTTTTCTGAAGCTATATTTATTTTAAATTTTGCATTGTTTTTGAATATTGTCAGATGTAAATTTCTTTGTAACAACACTTAATAGTATAAAAAAAATATATGATAGACTTTATAATGATATATTTTCTGTCAATAGTCAAGTAGGAGATGTGATGAAAAGTTACAAGGCAGAAATGATGGTAATATGAGAGTAATATTATCATCCATGGTTGTTCCAATCAATCAACATTCTGCTACAACAAGACAGGTACAGGCTGGTGATTATGTCGTTGTACGAGTCGATGACGCCAATTCTCAGACTTTACAAGGAACACCTTTGTGTCATTCTTCAATTATTGAATACTCATCAAATGAACAGTGATCGTTGTATTATATTAATTAGCAAGAACTACGTTTGTACAATATGTATTTTCCAGCACTGTAAGTAGACACACATGTCTAATGTACATTATTAACTAATAATAAAATATTCTCAAACGTTTGTCCTCAAAATGATATTGTTAATAAAATATGTATGGTCAAAAAATTGGCTGAGTTGAAAATTTTAATGATTAAGGTACATTTTTATTCATGTAGATTTACAAATCGGAGAAGTAGATCATCGTTGTAAAAAATTATCTTAAGATGCTACGAACCAATCAGAATACTATATTAGTATCTTAAGACGACGACGACAACGATTTAAGACGATCTTAAATACAAGAACGAACTATGAATACCGCTCTTAGATAGAAACACGGGGATGACCTGCCGAGTTTTGCGCGGCCAGGTTTTGTTTTATAGGAACATTAATCCGCTTGGTGGTGCATAAATCGACTGGTATCGTTCATTTGTATTTCCGAAGAAAAATAAAAAAAAGTAAAATATTTTGAACACAATACATTATTATATACAAGTTAGAAATTAAATAGCGAGTAACTAAATAAGGATTTAAAAATAAATAAGTATTTTCAAGCTTCAAATCTCTATTTTGAAATCTGATTGGTTAAATTTGTATGAATTTTAATTATTATTTTATTGCGACTTCATAGAAACTATAAATAATTGTAAAAATCTCCTCTTTTGAAAGTTGTATAGAATTGATACTACAAATTACAGAAAGCGCAATGAAAGACAGTCTTGAAAATACTAGTCTTGTCAATACTATATACTTATTGATAATGTTTGATAAAGCAATTACAAGAGTTTATAAAATTTAAAAGTCATAGAATACTTGTCACCGGTATTTGTGGCGTGATCATCTTCATCAAAATTCACAAGACCTTTGTACGTTAGATTTGGTACTTTTAACGCTGATGCTTTTGCGAGTGGACATTTAGTCAATGAGATGTGCTCCGTGCTTCTGCAGGTCTGGTTTGTCGATCATGAATTTGGCAAAACAATTTTAAAAAGTTCTGGAATTCACACTTTGTATCGATGACAGAGATACCTGTAAAAAATTGAATCTGTAGTATTCATCGGATTAAATAATTTAATACTATTGCACATTGATGTAAGGAGTTTCTGAGAAATCTTTACCTTCGAACTGTCCGTGTGTTGAGTAAAGGCAATATGCTTTGGTCACGTAAGAATCTATATCCTTGGGGAAAACGCATACACATTAATATGCATAGCAGGATCCATTTTTGAGAGTATCGTCTCCCTTTGGAGCTTTCGCACTGACTTGTCTGCAAAATTTTCTGTATCACAGTACGCTGATTCTTCGGAATATTAGGTTGATGCAAATAAAATGGCCGTTTTTTAATTTACTTTAGTAATAAACTTTAGACTTTTATTTGATAAGCTTAAAACTTGTTTTATTAATCGAAATAGTTTCCATCTGCTTCAATGCACTTTTGACAACGTGATATAAGTGCATCAATGTCATTCTTAAAGAAATCTGAAGAACAAGAGTTGATGAATTCGTGGAATGCATTTTTTACAAGTCTTTCTTGAAAAATTTTCCCAGTTAAAAACCCATCCAGATGCTTAAATAGATGGTAATCTGTTGGTGAAATGTCTGGAGAATAAGGAAAATGAAGAAAAACTTCGAACTTCAATTTGTCTAGTTTTTTTACGATTTTTTTTGCAATGTGTGGTCTAAACGTTTCATCTTATCCTTTTCTGTCAGTTTATGGGGAACCCATTTATCCAACTTTTTTACTTTTTCCATGGCTTTTAAATGTCGAACGACAGTTGAATGATGGATACTGAATCTCAGTGATCGGTTCCTCAGTGAGTAATCCAATTGCAGCACCGACGGGATGGCCCATAACATTAATCTTCGCACGTATACCCTCGCTATCTTCGGATAGGGTTACTTGTTTCTCAATCAGGAGGAAGACAGTATCTCAGAAATTTTTACAAAAACTGATCGTATAAAATCCAATGATGTAGACTCCATTGAAAGTTTTGTTTGCCACCAGCCAAGTCTTCGGCATGCGAACAGCACTACGCGAAATGTCCTGCAATGTCAAACGGGCCTTAGGTATATCCGGCACACTCGATCCCTACAGAAACAGAGGAAAGAAACTTATAAGTGACAGTTCTAACATAACATGATATTTCTAAACATACTTTCAATATGCAAGTAATAAATAAACAATACTTTTACGAACTCATTTTTAAAACAACAGCAAAAAAATGGAAAAATAAAAGGTTATTTTATTTCAGTGACAACTATAAAAAATACGCGAATCACGAAGGATTCATGATACCGTTGACTTTTTCCATGACATTTTCTGGCTTTGTAAGGTGGATTTAAAAAATCCGTGACATTTCCAGGTTTTCCTGACAACGGGCGACTACTTATAAAGATTATTTAGTTAACAATTTAAAAAAGTTAGTTATTTTATTGCAAAAAGGCGCCCAAGACTGCTTCTATATTGAATGATTTATGTTTTACGGTCAGTTTTATTTCATAGTATATTTCTAACCATGTATTACGGTGAGTGTTTATCATTTATAAAAATGCTTTTATCTTTAAATAGTATTTTTTTATCGAATAAAATGGCACTTTTAATCTTTTTAAACGAAACTTGCACCGATAACTCGTTATACCTTCTCGAATGTGAAAATGCATTGACAACCCGATTATTTGCAAATATTTCTATCTCATAAAATATTGTGCAAGATATACATATTGACCGTTTAAAATATTTTATAAAATATTTGAAAATAATTGAGTTGACAACGGCTGCGTTCGGGGAGCGCGCTATCAGCGCTTATTGCGTCATTCTATCTTTATCGTTCATTAGACATAAAACAAGGATAGAATGACACAATAGTGCTGATAGCACGCTCCCCAAACGCAGCCAACATATATTCTCTCTCTAAAAAAGGCATCTCGAACTCAAATATATCGAAGTATTAAAGCCTCTTTTTCGCGATGCTGATTTGGCTGTCTCGCTTGTGCGCTGCGACTTGCTTCAATCGTGTCGACTGTCAAACTGTCATACGAGTTTTGACACTAATAGCGTTTTCGATTATACAGGATTTGAACGACCCAGGGTTGGTTAATGACGTCATTGCAACCTCTCCAACCAATGAAAGACTTGCATTTATAGTAAAATAGTGATTGATCAACCCTAGATCGTTCAAACCCCGTTTATTCGAAAACGCTATAAAAAAGTATAATTGCATGTAAGCATTTTCTAAAACAAAAAACGGAAATGTTCGAATTTTAATTAAAAGTTTTCTATATCTTAAGATATAGAAAACTATTAAACTATTTTGTAAAACAGATAAGATTAATTAAACAGATAAACCAAAACAATAATTAATATCATTTTGGATGTTAAGTTAGAACAAAAAAGGAACAGTTGATGTAAAAAAAAAAAACATTTGTGAAAGACAAAATTCAAAAGAATTGAACAACATACAATTAAAACATTTAAAAAATTAACAAAGCAATACTCAGAGCAATCGAATGTTAAAGAAGTTTAATAACTAAACTCTTTTTAGAAGTCTCAATTTATTTATAAATTACTTTTATACATACTACCAATTTCTTTTTCTGTCATATTAGATGTGAATGAAACTGGCGCAATTTTCATAAGATTAGGTGCGATAACAGCAACATCGGGATCAATATTTGCTTCTGGTAGTTCTGGACCTCCACCAGTTGCCATACGAGATTGCCTTTCTTTTATAATTTCTTCTCTTTGACTCTGTTTTATATTGGTCCATAATTTTTTTAATTGTTGGACAGTTCTCTATTTATAACAATATAAATAACAGAATTATACAATTATTAAGCGTATCATTATTAACTACAAAGTTTAAAATTGTCATTGTTTTTACCTTTTGAGAAATTAATGCAGATTCATTATATCTATTGCAAATTTCCTTCCATGTTACCTCTTTTAATGTATTGCCATCACTTTTTTTAATTCTATAATATGTTTAAAAAGATTCAATATTTGTAAGGAATATATTCCTTTCCATTGGTGTATAATGTTTATTCTTGCTGGAACTTGAATTAGAACAGTCGTTACACGACATCCTGTAAACATATCCCAAATGTAAAATACGTCTATAGAAACATTATTTTTATACAAATATACCTTGTGGTGTCAAAAAGAAAGTGATGTGCAACAGGATCTTCAGAAATAATGCTTCTCGTTCCACTAGAAATGCTTTGTCTCTCCTAGAGAAGGTTAAATATTGGGCTGACACACCAATCTTGAAAAAATTATATATGGAAATTAAAGAATGGCTCGGATTTAAGAATAAATTTTTAACATTACAGTTTGGCAAACAAAATGGACTTACTTGAGCAAAATCTTCTTTGCGAAAATTATCTTATTTTATGACTATGGGCCTGTTCGTTTTAGTTGTTCTTATATTCAAGATTGTCTTAAGCACGAACTTATATTCGCTCTCTTCGTCAGACACAATCTATGTGTGACGAAGAGAGCGAATATAAGTCCGTGCTTAAGACAATCTTAAATATAAGAACGGACTATGAATACTGGCCGAAATCTACTAGCCTTAAGGCGGTCTGAATTGAATAATATCGACTTTATCAAGATCATCTTATAGCGTTTTCGAATAAACGGAGTTTGAACGATCTAGGGTTGATCAATCACTATTTTACTATAAATGCAAGTCTTTCATTGGTGGAGAGGTTGCAATGACGTCATTAACCAACCCTGGGTCGTAATCAAATCCTGTATAATCGAAAACGCTATTAGTATTGATTTGAGACTTGACTATGAATACGGACCATAGTCAAAGGTTTCCAGTATACTTATAGCGTTTTCGAATAAACGGGGTTTGAACGATCTAGGGTTGATCAATCACTATTTT